CCACACAGACAAACAGACGAAACCCTCTGATAAATATCACGACTATTTATTTAAATATTTCAATGACAGAATTTCTACAGCAATGATTTAACTGTTCCATTATTCAGCAGAATGTTACACCAAACATTTCCGTAGAGGTTATACCGTGTATTAAATATCTAGTCATGTATGGAAAAGGAGCTAACAAAGGATTGACGTAATTATAGACATAAGGTCATATCCAGGTATAAAGAATGTCAGGTGTGATTGTATCTGTGGGTAGGTACGGGGAATACATACTGTCTATATTATACACAAGTTTTGCTTGCCTTAAAATCAGGTTTTATTCCTCTAGCTGTCACCAGTGAGTAAGGACGCCATTTGACAACCAGGGGCTGTACGTGAAACGTAGAAAGTCAATTTTGTGAAAATAACCCGAAGCTGAAGGTTTTCAAGACAATTGACCCCTGTGACCTTGACTATGGACGAAGGTCATTCATTTGAACAAAATTTGTAGCCCTTCATGCCAACATCCTGTTGGCCGAATATCATCACCTTGGACCTTTTGGTTATACAGAAGAAGTCGTTAAAAGTTTTTAAAATCACCTGGTACAGATGTATTAATCTCACACTTGTAATCTTAAAAGTGGACTAAAATACAGCTACTGGTATAATATCAGTGTTTGATTCATAAGAACCTATTAAAAGATTTAACCATATGACGCCCGTGACCTTGAATGTCGAACAAGGACATTAGGTTGAAAGTGGGTCAAGGTCATGTATTTGAACAAACATGGTAGCCCTTCATCCCAGCATGATACAGGCCCAATATCAGTACCCTTGGCCTTTTGGTTATTGAGAAGAAGCTGTTTGAAGATTTTAAGGCATTTGACCCCTGTCACCTTGAAAGTTGGTCAAGGTCATTCATTTGACCAAACTTTGTAGCCCTTTATCCGAGCATGCTACAGGCCCAATTTCAGTACCCTGGTCCTTGTGGCTATTGAGAAGAAGTCATTTGATTTGTTATTACTTCAGTCATAGTGGATTTGTTAGTGTTGGAGACACTTTTATTCGGAATTCGTTTTCTCCGAAATTTTATCGGAACACTTTTATGACAAGTAAATTGTTCTCTGAATAAAACATAAACTAACTTGAGGGGAACTTGTATTCTGTGTTTTCTAACTCAACCAATACTAAATACTAGAGAAAAAGAAACAATGCATCAATGAGTGGAATCAAACATTAAGTCCGAAAAATGTTAAAAAAAAATCTGTCTTGGTCAGTTACAGGACCATTCCAACAATCCGACTGGTCAGTAAATGAAGTATTCTGGCCATAACACTATTGGTCAGTTACAAGACCATCCCGGCTGTTTCATTCTATTGGTGATTTGCATGGCCATTTAAAGTAGCCATAACACTATATTGGTCAGGTACAAGATCATGCCTACCATCTGACTCCACTGGTCAGTTAATAAAGTATTCCGGCCATAACACTCTATTGGTCAGTTGCATGACCATCTGGCTATCTCTTTCTATTGGTCATTTGCATGGCAATTTAAAGTATATTTTACTCTCTGGGTCAGTTACAACATCTGACTTCACTGGTCCGTTACCAGAGAATTCTGGCCATAACTGTCCATTGGTCAGTTACGTACAAGATCATCTGACCATAAAGTTATCTCAATTGGTCAGCTAGAAGACAATTCCGACCATTCTACTCTACTGGTCAGTTAAATGTTATATTGGTAAGAAAATATCTCTCTAAAACAGAGATCCTTATAGAGGTACATGTATCCTTTACCACAAAGAAAAACAGACGAATCCCTCGGATAAATATCACGACTATTTATTTAAATATTTCAATGACAGAATTTCTACAGCAATGATTTAACTGTTCCATTATTCTGCAGAATGTTACACGAAACATATACGTACAGGCAATACCGTGTTTTAAATATCTAGTCATGTATGGAGAAGGGGCTAACAAAGGATTGACGTAATTATAGACATAAGGTCATATACAGGTATAAAGAATGTCAGGTATGATTGTATCTGTGGGTAGGTACGGGGAATACATACTGTTTATGTTATACATAACAAAGTTCTACTTCCCTATCAGCCAGGTATATAGAAGGCCAGGCGTGATTGTATCTAGCTCTGTGGGTAGTTATGGGTAATACACACTGTCTATATTATACACAAGTTTTGCTTGCTTTAAAATCAGGTTTTATTCCTCTAGCTGTCACCAGTGAGTAAGGACGCCATTTGACAACCCGGAGCTGTACGTGAAACGTAGAAAGTCAATTTTGTGAAAATAACCCGAAGCTGAAGGAGCTGAAGAAAGAAATAACACATCAATGTGGTTTGGAAGTCACTGAATTTGGACATTCTGTAAGTATATAATGTGATGAACTAAGTTTAGGATATTTTTTTTGTCTGAATTTATTTCTCCAGCTAAACTAAGACCATTGGTTTGTTACAAGGTTGTCTTTATAACATTAGCTTCCTACTGGTCAGTA